AAACTTGTAATTCATGTTATGGGAATATTCTAATTTCAAAAATGATGTTCAATTGTCACACTTATTTATTAAGTAATGTATCTTTTGCCTTTATTACATATTATACATTACTTACATATAAGCAATTTCTAGACACTATTTTTCCTGCTGGTCTGTCTGCATTTTCTCTATGGTATTATTTTTTAACTTTATACTTCTTTCCAGATATTAATTCACAGATTAAATATTTCTTTTTTCTATTATTAAACTTAAGATAAGTTATGTTTTTTAAATCGAATCTTCCCATCCAGGATTGGGTTCTTTTTCATTAAAACCTCAACATGTTACCTTGTGGAGTAGATATCATATTTTTAAAATTTTTGTACATATATCACAATAGCAATTGAAATTGTAAAAGATGCCTTTCAAATATATTTAACTAACTTTATAATAGTTACACTTTTATAATTAGGTAGACCAAGATACTGGTCATCATAGTTAATTTTCTAAAACAGTTTGTTACATAAATAGTATTTAAAATTTTGTTAGATTTAAGTATCTGAATGAATCATCACATTCAGGGAAATGTAAAATAATGTCAAAGCATATATTTCAGGACTTTAGTGAGAATACTTGTAATGCCAACCATGAAAAATAGAATTCTCATGTCAGTAATAAAATAATCAAAATACCTAACTTACAATAACATAAAAGCAACAATAGCAACATCAATAAGACCTTCATTTGCTTCCTTTGTAATTACTCATAACTTTGAAGTTCAATAGAGAAAAAGACTCAATTTTTTTCCTTCCTTACCTGTATGAACTACTTTTTAGAGTAAGAAAATACTTAATAAAGATCTTTCTTTTAAAAACAGTTCCACATATATGGAATAAAATAGTAGCCACAAAAGACTGGGAAGAATAGGGAAGTGGGTGGATAGAAAGAAGTTAGATAAGGGTCACCGAAAGAGAAAGGAAAACATTCTGGCTTTCTATGACACAGGACAATGGTTATGAGTTATGAAGTATGATATAAAGAAAAAGAAAAACACAAAATGATATTTGAGAAGATGAAAGTGTTTTTTACCCTGATTTCACCATCAGAATTTGCATGAGGTACAGAATTACATAGTACTCCATAATTATGCATAAACAGATTATACTTTAAAAATGCTGAAGGAATGTGTATAAATGGGTATTTTTTCAATATCTGATGTAGAATATCTAAGAAGGAATTGTGAATGTATTTTAGAACACTGAACAGAAAATCCTTATTTTGGAGGAAATCATTTACTAGCATAAGAACACACTGTTAAATCACAGTAACACAAATAAGAAAATCTCTTAAGGACTATGGAATATTCTCAGCTTAAAAATAACCAAAAATAATAAACTTTCCTGATCTCATATAATCGAACACCTATCTTCTAGTCTATAGAAAATATGAGAAATAGATGAATAAAATGGAAAATGAAAAAAACAAAATGTTTAAAACAATCTGTAAATTACTAGCATGAAAGGAACAAAGATTGCCATAGAATAAAAGAAACCATCAGTCATATTCAAAATCTGTTACAGACATTTTGAATAGGAACACCTGAATATTGACTTGTTTTCAGATGATATTAAGCAATAATATTCAATTCCATTAGTTACAAAATAGCTTCATTGTAATATACATTAGATCAACAGTCTAGCAAAAAAGCCAACATTCTTATCAGAAATATATTGATTATTTATATGTAATATACTTTCATATCTAGAGTGTACTTAAGACATTATGGAAATTGAATAAAAGTAGAACTTTCATATAGTAGGCTTTCCTTACTCATAGGTTTATTACATGAGATTTTGACCAAGTACAACCATACCTATATAAATAAATTTCCACAAAACAAAGGTTTTACATAAATCAGTGGATGTTATCTTCACTTACAACATAATGTAATTTGCTGAGTATTTTCCTGCCTTTGATTCCACAAAGTAGGGCTCCCCCCAAAAGTAAACGATGCCCCAAAAGTGAGGGAAAATTTATGGTAATACTCTAAAGCCAAAAAGAGCAGATAATGTTCTAGTTTAAGTGATAAAGTGAAAATCTGAGATGGCTGCAAGTTATCATGCCATTTGTGATACTTTGGGTAAAAGTCAATCAAGCACCTACAATACAATATTGAACTATATGTGTATTTGCAGGTCTTTCAGAATGGGGAACTCTTTGGAACAATACTCCTACAAACATATACTTTATATATATTTATATTAATATATATTTATACAAACATATACTTTATATATTTATTTTAATATATAAGTATCTAGAATATAGACATGATATATAAGTATATATAACTGTATATATAAATTATATTATATATATATATGCTGAAATCTAAGTGATGGGTATGTTTATTATATGATTCTCCCCTACTGTTTTACAATGCACGTGATTAGTGTTAAAAATTAAAGGTAGCTAAACAGTAAGAGATCGGAAAACAAATGAAGATCAATGGTGATTCAGAATAAGGACAGAGACAGTTCAACTCAGTAAATACATCATGAAGTACAAGACTATGCTATCCCATCCAAGTAGAAGTGAGGTTCCAAAACTCCAGAAGGGATGTTGGACACCACTGGATCGAAGAAGTGACAGATGAGTAGAATGAAGACTGGAAAAGAGGATGAAAATGCCTAGATGAATCACAAATATTTGGGACTACCATTATAAATAATACTTATTTTCAGTCAACCAATTCTCCCACACTGATGTTTCAGGTAACGCATGCCAATAGGCACTAAGGTTAGGACGTCCTCATGACCGTTACAAAACACATTCTATTTAACACTATCTTTCTATAAAATTTTATATTAAAACCTAATTGCTACAATTTGACACATTTAAAATATGTTGAATTTTTACAAATCCAACAATCACTACAAAGCAAACCTTTGTATTTTGTGCTATCCTAGGACACAGAGAGGGGCTGATCCAATGAAGGTCTGTGTGTCACCCAACAGAGCCACCACAGAAGCAATTTGTTACAAGTAGATGGCTAGTTGAACACTTAAAAGGACGATAAACTAGAAAGAAATTAGATACTGAAATCAATTTCTTTTGAGCTTACCATGAAACTTCAGTTTCACACAAACAATTGTATTTGAAGAAGTCAGAAAAAAAAAAATGCCATACTAAGATGCATGCCCGTGCAAACAGAACTTTACACATGCTATAGCCTTTATAGTCACCATTTACTTGATTGGTCCAAATATTTATAGTTCATTGTTATGACTGCCAAAACTGGCAACCACAAGGATTGTTGTCTCAATTAGGACAGTAAACAGATTGTCTCTTTTTTTAATGAAAAAATCTAAAATGTAATACTTCACAGTTTAACATGTTTATTCATCTAAACGAGCTAAAAAATAATGGTGCGACATCTGTTCGCGAAGCATTGGTACCTCAAATTTTGGCTGCCTCCCCACCAATTTGGTTGTTGTTTTAAAAATGAAGAATAGGAGGGGGTTCTGTCATCAAAGATTCTTCTGGCATGCAAACTATCTTATTTTTTTTTTCTTCAAATAAAGATCTTGTATCTGTTGCTAGGGATTTTTTTTTAAATGTGTAACAAGGAGGCACTGTGCTGAATGTGGCTGCAATATAATTGTTTTAAACAAATTACTGATCCACTATGGATATTTCCACACTGGCGTAGTTCTTTACATGACTCTTCAGGTCCCCCTCTACTTACCCTACCAGTTAAAACCTGAACAAAATGGTAAGAATGTTTTTGTAGGCACTCAATTCATCTGCTGCAGTTTTTTTTTCTTTTTCCTTTTTACTGTGCGTTGTACTGATGCTAGATATGGCATCAGCGCAATCAAAGGTAGCAAACATTATTCTATCCAGGCTGCATTGGCGTAATTCTAATAAAAGAAGGCCGGGCTGCTAAGGGGGAAGTAGGACTCTCCCCAGAGAAGCCTCAGGTAAGTGTAGAGTTTAATTGCTGTTAAGGACAGAATGCAGAATTATCTTAGGCAGTCTCTTGTGCAACAACATTATGGAGGAAATTTATCAAATGAAATAAATTTAATTCCTACAAGATTTTTTTCATGAAGCTGATCTACAGTACAATTCAATCTGTTGAACTATCCTTGACTATATACTTTTAAAACATGGAAAATTGAGTATCATATAAATACTACAGTAAAATTTAGCTTTGTTTTTATTTGGGTGAAAACACGTGCTGAATTTAATTCAATCACTGAGTATGACTTTTTAATAAACATGAATATCTGATTTTTTAGAAAAGACCAAAGTTTCAATTTAATTCTAACCATGATGTTGTCTTAATCTTCATAATTAGGATGGAACTTTATTCCCCAAATATTCAATTATCATAAATGCCACATGCTAAGATTTGATCAATATAGATTGTTCAGATTTTATTAAATTAAAACATATTTGATCATGTACTATATACAAAATTTTGTACCCAGATTGTAAAAAGATTAGAAGACTTTAATTTTAACATACATTTAAATTTATGTACAAATTACTACACTACTGGAATGACAAAAATGACTGAGGATTTTACATATTACATAGGATTTTACAATTGTTAGTAAGGCTAAAAGCATTTCTGTTGTCTTTATGAAAAGTCGAAAAGAGAAACTGTAGATGTATTTTACAACAACTAACCCTATGTTTCTAATAAAGCAGATCTTTTAAGAAGAAAAAGGACAGGAGATTATTTTTTGCAATATCTCTTCTTAAATGAAAATAAATTTATGCATTATTTTCCCTAGTTGAGACCTACATGCAAACTAAAAACCAGCAACCTTTCATACCTCACATATTCCAAAGGTTATTTTTTAGGTCTCCTACATTAGTTGAAATATTCTGCAGAGTACATTAATATATTTGAACATTCTGAAAAGTCATTAAATATATGTTTTATTTATTCTTCTGAATTACTCTAAGCAGTAAATTATTACATAGGAACTAGCCAGTTCTAAATTTTGTGTCTGATGCCAGTCTGATATTTATTCCAAACACCACTCATTATTTAAAAGTATAGTCCCCTGAAATAGCAAGAAGATATCACCTTTCTCTTCAAACCATATAAATCAGTCTTTCAATCTGGATTGCTCTTCAAGGGATTGGCTGCTTCCCAGATAACGTGAGTTGGTGAAATTTGCATTTCATGAAAACAGTATTGTGTAAATATATGTTATTCCACTTTACCTGCTATTTACAGAAATCGAATCTTTTAAGCCTTTGGGACTTGTGATTCTCTGGGTAATCATAAATCAATCAGCTATATGAATGGAATCTAGATGCCAATAAATTAGGCAATGAAACTTGCCTATAATTATGTTACATTTAGACTAATATTTATTGCTATAGGAAGCAATATTTTCCCCAAAAGAACACCCCATGAGTATGGCAGAATCGTTTAGTTTTTCTCACAATGATGAATTTTCAAACATTTATAAGAGTATAATGATCTATTTTAAATACCATGAATTCTGCTAATTTGGATATGTAACTAATAAGTAACTATTACATCCTTTCATTTAAATTATTACTGAAAACCAGAAATAACCTTTATTTAATGTGACTCTTTAACACCATATGGGATGGAAATAAGTAAATGAAAGTTGTTCACGTACATGTGATAAGAGTAGAGGAAAGCAGTATTTCTTGACATGTGGCATGTCACTCAGGAAAGTAAAAGGCCCATCATATCCAAAATGCCAGCTTGGATATTCCCTTGCCTCCCACTTCACGAACAGACATACCACATGGCATAAAATGCTGCAACCTTTCCTAAAAATGCCACTTGGATTGGTCCACTGTGGCGAGTGTGTACGAAGTCTTGTTCTGTGTCTCCAGTTTGTGAGTTCATGAGGAAGAATCTAGCAAATAACACTGGCTAAATTTTGCCCGCAGATGTTTGGCGTAAATAATCTGTGAGGATATTGGAATCCTTGGCTGTTTCTGCACTGAGGAAATAAATGATGCTGCTTTAAAAAAATTCTACAGAATGTACACTACACTGTGACACATTCAACTTCTTTGCATAAGTACCAAAGAATATCTTGCCTTTTAGAAGCTGCACTTACAAAGCTATGATATGCTTCTTGGGTATTTATCAAAGCTTTTGAATCTTGGAAAGTACAGAAACAATTCTAATACTGAATTTATTATTTTGTACCATATATTCACAATATTAAACATTTTGTGCATAGATTTCAAAGAATCTATTTTTCTATGCATCCTTATATGATGTAGTAGCTAGTAACTCTGTTGTAGGTAGATCTTTTCCAATTTTCTGAGCTTTATGTGTTCATGTTTTTGAAAATGTATTAAAATGTTGGTTGCCAATAAAATATTGCATAGACTAGTCATTATGCTCCAACAAATGCAAAATATATCAAAATATATAAACAGAAAAGTACATGTGAGAGTTATATGAGTTTTATACTTTCTTCTACTGTTTATTTTTCACTAAAGTGTTCTAATTAACTCTCAAGAGACAAAATATAATCACACGAAACAACTTCACATTGTTCACATTCAGAAGACAGCCAAGAAAATGATTCTGAGGAGGTAAGACTTCTGCTAATTGTAGGGTGTGAAAAAGACTGCACAATTAAATGACAGATTGCTACATCTCTCCTTAACAAGAGGGGCAAACTGATATTGCAGACAGCCAGAACAACATAATTAAAATAGAATTCCAAGCTTATATTAATAGAGTAATAAGTTAATTAAAACCAAGATCAACTGAACTTTCTATTTACATCAGTTTGGATAGCCCAAGAGGCACGGAACTCTACTACACTACTCTTTGCCATTTCTGACAGAGCACATGTGCACAGAACAGTTGGCAAGGAAGGATAAAAATTACTGAAGTTGTATGTACAGATAGTCTCTCTAATGATATAAAATATGTCTGGAAAGAAACTGGGGCTTCTTGGTAAAATAAACATTTTCAGGACTTACTCCTTCTTAGCCTTGGAATGTGATTCGAATACTGTTTACCTGCAAGAATCATAGAAGAGTAAATTTACTCATTTCTGACTGGTGGAGTTATAAATGTAAGCTGGGTAGCATGTTTGAAAAGTTTAGGATCTATTATCAATTTCATCTAAATGTGCCATGTATAATATGTCTGTCCAAGTAGAAATATTTCTAAAAGTATCCAGCAGTATATTGTGTTGATAGGTAAGTTCATTTCTTAATGTCTTACATGACTGTTTAAAAAGATATTTCTGCAAACCGAAAGTCTCAGAAGAAAGCAGTCATTATAGTCAAGAGCCAATTCTTCAGAGATACTGGTCCAAAAGATTCTTTCATAAAATTATTTTCCTTTAATGTATTGATGCCCAGCTAATCTTCATCTCTGTGCACTTCTGGGTCAACATCTGTGGACAGTCTGAGATAAAAGAAAGCATAGAAAGCCAGTAGGAGGGCCAGGATAGCTGCAAGTACAAGTCCAACTTCCTAGAGGAGGGAAAAAAAGTAGACTTGAGAAAAGACTTTTTTTATCTGTTTCACCAGATAAAATGACCATGTTACTGCCCAATGTACAATGAATAATTTGAAACAAATAGTCATATTCATCTTATTTATACATTTTTGCCAATAAGTAACTTATTTTGCACATGATAAAACCCATTGTAATGACAAGTACATAGTCCTTCTTATTATTACTTTTAAGTTAAATTTTCCCAGAACTAAAATTCAAATTTATTGATTTAATATTATTTTCATGATTTGGATATCAAAAGGTTAGATATAAGCAACATAGATTGTACTTACAAAGTGTATGTGTTCTCTACTTGAGTTATGTCTAACTTTATTTGCTGCTTCAAAAATACATTTGTAATTAGCAATGGAATTTGCATATAGATTTTCTTTAACAGCTATAATTCCATTTCGATTAGTAACAAATGACTATAATCACTGGCTTCACAGATTATGTCTCTGTTTACACACTTATTAAATATTATTTTGTTCTAACTCTAAATTTTAAAGCCTAAGTTCTGTATTTTATATACTGACGAACAAAACTAAGGACTGGTTTCATGAAGCATCACACATCATATTATCTTCAAAAATCATATTATCTTCAAAAAGCGAAAAGCGTGTGAGCATATTGTTATTTCCCTTGCCCTTGACCTATTGTAACAATGAGATGTACAAGATGCTATGTAGAAAGCGAACTTTACAACTTACAGGAGGCGGGGGAGGTGAGGAGGTGGAAGGGTAGGGATAGTAGGGGAAAAGGAAAGGAGGAGGTAACAATGCTCGGAAGGAAATAGACTCATTACCTTACTCATGTAACTGTAACCTCTCTGTACACTATTTTTACAATTAAAAAAACATAAAAAAGTGTGTGAGGACCATAAATAGTCTAGATACTAACATTCCATTTGGCCAGAGAGAAATGAAGAATGGAGAGTGCCAGTCTGGCATCCTATAGGGCCTTGTATTCTCTTCTGATGTTCACTGTGTATCACACCCCTTACCTGGTATTGGTTTATGGGGGTAGTAAATCATTTACATTCACAAATATGTAAAATAAATTTTATACCAACATACAATAAAAACAACATTTGCTACCTGCTAAACTTGAAAAACATTAAAAATAAACTTGATTCATAATCAATATGCAATTTTACCTGAATGCTACTACTACAAATATTGTATTCAGATGTTTAGCTTCAAAATTAAATATACCCAGATATCAAAACTATGAAAATAAATATTAAATATGTGCAGCTGAAAAACTCAGTATCAACAATTTTTGAATGACTTGATATTTAAAATGTAATATATCAACATAATGTCAAGTAAAAGTGAATTTTTCTTCGTTACAGTTGGAACACTTTGGCGTCTCAAAAGGGCATGGCACTACCAGACAGGTTTCATTTATTTTCTTAGATCCACAGCTGTGCTCCCAGACCCATCTGGTTACACAGCTACTAATTTTAAGAGGATGTAATAAACAAGTGACACACAACTGTAAACTCCATCTGTTCTGTAGAGTGGACAACAAAACTGATCAACTCCTTGCTATTCACCTAGCTTACTGTAAAAATAAAGTTGTTATTCTGGATTTAAAGCCTTGTTTCATATCAACTTAATTCACTGGTTTACTTGTTTTTATTGTCCTTAAGACAATGTGTATACTTTCATAATATCCAAAGATATGAAATAGAACTCTAAAGGTAGGAAATGGAGAGTATTTACAAAATTCAACTTATTAATGATTTAATTAAATGATGTCTGATTAATATATGAAACAAGGATGACATTTACTGGAAAGGTATAACATCACATAATTTTCTTCAACTTATCTCCATTCATTGAGGAAATGAACATTACAAAGGCAGAATGTTTGAAAGTTTCAAGCAAGGGTACAACTTGAAAAAACAGAGTCACAAACATAAACATTTTCTCTATCCCGTGTCTATTTTCAGTTTTAAACCTAAAATAACAGCACAGAACAAATATAACATTTCAAGCTCATCATCTGAAGAGATCGTGGGCAGGATCTGGTTGGCATTTTGTTTACATACTAAAACTGAATATTTTTAAAATCTTTTTTTCTCTTGTTAAAGTTATACCTTTAGGGTACAGTTTTAAAAAAGAAAATAATAAATGTAGATTCATTTCCTTCTAAATGATACCAACACAGGTATTGCATTGTAAAAAAATTAGTGATACTGTAATTCTTCTAATTGAATGTCAATTAAATAGCCAGCAAACTTGATGTGGAAATATATTTTAGGTGGTACTCATTGCATCACTGTGTGACAAATTGTGACATTTTATTTTTGCAAGACAAAAAATAAAAGTAGCTTCTTACTTATAAATCAATTCTAGATTTTAACATTATTTAGATCTTATGCCCAAATCATGAACTGTTCTCTCAAACCGTGTTCCATTTCTGAACATAGATTTACAAAAAAAGCACTAGAAGACTTTAGGGGCAAAGGCTCTATTGTATAGTTCTTCACATTTCTAGCCTACAGTTTCTCTTCTCAGTCCGCATAATGTTGATTGAATAAGGAAATTAATTCTGGAAGTGATCTCTTGTACATTTTTCCAGGACAATCACATCTTACTCATCTTTCTTCCCATAGGTTCCATAATATTGTAATGCAGTGATTCCTAAATGAGTAACGGCTCAAGTAATATCTTATGGTCTTTATAGAAATTATGCTAAAACGAGGCAAAGATTTTCAATATTAACATTCATCATGATCACAGAAAATGTGAGAACATTCTATAATATATAATACAGCTGCACAAAACAGAAGAACTTGAAGTATAGGAAGGCCACTGACAAACATTCAAGGGAAAACTTCCATGAACTAGAACTATTGAATGCCTACACATACTTTCTTGATTATAACAATTGATAAGTGACTTCAATGTGTTAAATTCACTGTTTAATATTTTTACTGCATTGTCTATCTTATGTCCATTCTAGAAAGGTGGCAGATTAGACATAACTAAGCATGGTCACAGTGAGGGTCAAAAGGGAGGTGGTCCTAGGGCTTTTGTCACATGCTCACATTGTTGCCATTGGTGTCAATTTGCCCTTTCATACATCTTTCCAGATTTTCCATAGATTTAAACTACTTGAAGAGCAGTACTACAACTCATTTAAAGGAATAAGTAATAAAATGGTAAAATAACACACTATTATGGTCATTCTGTATCAACTAGATAAGACTCAAACATGTTTGATGTTCATTACACCTTAGTTGCTTCTGTGACATTATCAGTATGGATAAAATCACTCACTAGGGAAATTAAAAAGCATTAAATGGCAATTGCTGAAAGAAACTTCGTTATTTAAAATACTATGCCAAAATGACAAGGCAATCAAAGTTTGACAGGGCAAACTAATTAGTATGCCAGATTTAAAATGTAAAATACCTTCATGGTTCTGGCTCTAAAAAGTTTCCTATCATCTTAATGTGCTCGTCACATGAATTTTCAGGCTAAGTAAACATTACTTAAAGTCTCGTTCAGATTGCTTTGGGAAGAGTGAGGGAGCCATGAGGGACAGTGGCACGGAGTGGATCTGATCAAGGTTCATTGTATGCATATACAGACATGACAAAAGAAACCCCCAGCACAACTAAGTCATACTAATGAAAAATGTGAAAAGGCCTTTGTTTTCCACAGGCTTGCTAAGTCAAACGATATCCAAATACACTAAGAGAGAGCAACGTTCCCATCACAAGTTAAAAACACTTCTGTACATACTTAATAGACTCTCAGACAAAATTTCTCATAAAAATTTCATTAAAACACGTTAGCTAATTGTATTTCAAGAGGACACAGTTATGAAATAAGGGATGTACATATAAAAATGGTATAAATGTATATCAATGGCTCCATTGTTTTTGAAATCTTTATTTTTAAATTTTTTGGGCTTTGGACTCAGGGCGTGGGCACTGCCACTGAGCATTTTCTGCCCAAAGCTTATTTTGTACCACTTGAGCCACAGCTCCACTTCTAACTTTTTTTTTTGGCCGGTAGTGGGGCTTGAACTCCGGGCTTGGGCGCTGTCCCTCAGCTCTTCAGCTCAAGGCGAGCACTATACCGCTTGAGCTACAGCGCCACTTCCGGTTTGCGAGTGGTTTATTGGAGATAAGAGTCTTATGGTCTTTCCTGCCTGGGCTGGCTTTGAACCACGATCCTCAGATCTCAGCCTCCTGAGTAGCTAGAATTACAGGTGTGAGCCACCGGCACCCGGCTTTCTAGTTTCTTTTGATGGTTAATTGGAGATAGTAGTATCAGGGACTTTTCATCCTGTCCAGGCTGTAATTAAATTATAATCCTCAGATCTCAGCCTCCTGAGTAACTAGGATTACAGGAGTGAGCCACCGGGGTCTGGCTCTGTTCCTCAAATCTTAATATGGAACTGCTCATTTAAGTACGCCAAAGAGAAATTTATACCAACATTCCTCTAAAAACCAAACCACAAAATCCACCACATTATAATAGATGAAATTAAGTTATACATTGTGTTAAGAGGGCAAGAATCAAAATGTTCAAATCAAGAGGCCATTCTCAAGCCACTAAATGCACTATAAAAAGTAAGCATTGCTTTTATAAAATTTAGGTCATTGATATATCTTTTAAAGCTGAATTAAATTTGGTATGAAAATAGAAAAAAATAAAGATTAATCTGGCCTGAAACAAAAAGATTACTTTTCTCATTAAAAACTGACACAGAATACTATCTGAAGAGGTTGTGTTGTGGAAACACATCACATCACACAGCAATGCTTGATCAAAATGGGCAATCAGCAGCTAAAAGAAGGCAATGTTTTGTGATCATAATAGCAAATTCTGGAAGAAAACCAAATATATCATCTGGCAGTTCAACAGCTGTTACAGCTTGGTAGTAATACCTTGGCATTTGCTGTAAGCTGTAACTTAGAAAAATTGATTTTTCGTCTGCCAAATAAAACCCAAAATCTCCTATTAACAGTTTAAAATTTAAATAAAATATATGTAGTAGTCATTTTATGTTATATATTTGACAACAGGGCTGTCAAACTAATTTTTCTACTTAGTTCATTTCAGTTCTAAAAACTTGGCAAAAGAAATAACCTGAGTAATAATGTAAATGTCATTTTACTAAACTTTATTGTGCTAGCACACTGAATTACTGTCTGCTAAGAGCATTCTCAGTTGCATTTATCCTTTAAGCAGCTCAACACCAGATTTCTAAATGGACAAGTTTGGGAATGTCACAAGAATTTCATCACAGAGAATACTAGTGATAATGAGACAAGGAGTAAAATTACAAGCATGAATAAGTATACATTTCTACAAGTATAATTTAAGCAACTATGAAAACAACGTTTATTGAACATTAAAGAATTTTTTTTTACTAAGGCCACATCACATACATCATTGAAATGCTTGGATATATTCATTAGCTGGAAAAGAATTAAAACTTTAAGAACAACTGGTTTTCTTAGGTAACACTGTGTTATTTTTAGACCTTGAAAAATCTGTTAGAAGGAACTTTTCCATTGAGTAAATTATTTTAAACAATTTTGAATTCTGAAACATTATAAAGCATTTAGAACATTCATGCAACCCCGTTTAATATAATGAAATAGCATATACATTATCGTATTACAAAGTTATTAAATCGAAATCTACCTTTATGCCTATTGCTGTTTTCTTTGCTTCTGCTTTTAATTTGGTTGCTCGTAAAATAGGTTTGGTTTTTTTATAATCCTGTTTACCTAGAAAGAAATAGTTTCAAACAATGAGTAATGCTTAAATATAATTCAAGTTGAACAGTCATCTATGAAATGTCAAAGAATGTTTAAACAGAGTAAAACAGGGACAGAAAGTTGCAAAGTAGTTCCCAGTTGTGATTACCATAAACCTGTCATCTAAAAGTTGACTCCTCACTTACTGTTTCAGCAAGAAGACTTGACAAACGTCTTTGATTTGATGTGCAATGAATGTCAAAACAAGATAATAACTTTTTTAAAGACTAGGAAATTTAAGGAGAGTTAAATCTTTTGGAAGCAATTAGAAATAAAAGCATAAATAAATGAATACATGTGCAAATTCATTAATAGGTAATGCTAATTGTACCATAACCATTAAATGGTAATATATCAATAATTGTGAATTTATTTTATTGTAAATACAGTGTATATTCAAATTTGAGAAACACTCCCTAAGACACTTGTGAAGAAATTCATTAGAAAAATACAAATTAAACTTCTATTTCTACTTAACAGAGGATCTAAAAAACTTACTAAATAAAAGATGACAAGATAATTTCTGAAGATTTCAGATTGTTAGTCTTCTTGCTTCCACTTTACTCCCCTTCCTTTCAAAGATCAGTTCCTCTCCAAAATTTAACTTACCTTTACATTGCCCTTCTCTAAATAATATGGTTCATAAATTTAATTTCCACATCTTCCCCACACTGAAATACATAACAAAACCGTTTATGTGAACTGAACATAAAAATTTAATGTGAAATTAAATTTATTTCTTTTTTATTCAATTGTGGGACTTGAACTCAGGCCCTGAGCATTGTCTCTGAGCTCTTTTGCTCAAGGCTAGTGCCCTACCACTTTAAGCCACAGCCCCACTTCTGGTTTTCTTGTGTTAATTGAAGACTAGAGTCTCACAGTCTTCCTTGCCTGTGCTGGCTTAGAACTGTGATCCTCAGATCTCAACCTCCTGAGTAACTAGCATTATAGGTATGAGCCACCAGTGCCTGGCTAAATTTAGTTCTTTAGCATCTGCTAAAGACTCAAAAGTATCATTAAACTTTTACCTAAATTTTCAAAATTAGAAATGGCAGAAAAGTAAATCAAATGTACTGGATTAATGTAGGAATGATATAGTTGTATTCATTAAACACATAAAACTGGCTAGAAAGTTAAAATTATTAATTTTTACAGGAAGAAATATCTGTTCAGAAGTGTTTTTATATAGCAGTCTATCTGAATCTAAGGACAGTTCAATAAATATTACTTTTGGTGGGGTTGAATGACCCTGAAATGAACCTTTTATAAATGCATATCAAATAACCTAAATTTAAATTATAGAATAAGTAATATATATAAAATATGACTCAGATTCATTTTAAATTAGCAACATTTAATTTTTCAGAAAAAGCCTTGACAAGCATTCATTCCAATTTCCTATCTCAACAGTCAAAATTATTCATGTCACTATTCCCACTGATTTATAAACAGTTCAGAATAGTGAAAATTGATGACATATCAAATGCTTTTACTCAGGGTTACAAAGCAATTTTCCAATGAAAATCTAAAAAGAAATTTAAAGTTTATAATAGGAACTGCAAAAAAAGTCCTTGTTTGCTGCATATGTTTATATGATTATAATATCTGGGTACAAAGGAGAAAAAGTAAACAAATAAAGAATTATTTTAAACATGATGTCCTTCATACAATTATTCAACATTTTTCCACAAAGCATACTGCAATATATTTCAGTGACTATATTTTCATGGTAAGTTGAAAGCTTATCATTCTACATAAGAACCATATAACCCTTGGTTAATTAAATAATATATTCTATTTCAGTTCAGCTCCTTTATCCTCTTAAAGAATAATATTTATAGATTTACATTAAAATGAAAAATTGGTATTAAAATTAAAATTATTATATACTTAGTACTTTCCCAAAACAGTGAATCTGTAATTAATTTAATGTTCTCCTTGCTGACTATGATATCCAACAGTACATATTACAAGCTCTGCTTTTAAGTCTACTAAGTGAAAACATTTACAGGGGCATCTATTAAATTCAGTACAACTGAAACTAGACCTTTCATTGTGCCCAGAGAAGTTTTCAACATTTGAATTTTTATTACCTCAAGACAGATACCTATGCTTATATGATTGTAAAACTTTCAACTATAGAAATCCCTATGTAGTTTAGGTAACAAATCCTTTCCTCTTCATGTACATATTCCTGGTCAACTGATTTATGCTTTCTTCCTCCAGAAGAGTTCTGTAATATTCTTTAAATTTTTCTCATGTACAGGAATTTACTTTGTTCTTCTTCTATACAGTTCTATGAAATTCAATGCATTCATCAATTTATGTAACTGCCACCATATTATATATATATAAGATATAGAAAAATGTCATTACCTTTCAAAATAACCAGATAGTCACCACTTCCTGCGTTAATAACTCCAGCAACAACCAATTAACTGTCCATTTATATAGGTTTGACTTTTCAACAATGAGGCACTGAAGTGATAGTATCTTCTTTGTTTTACCATCAAGTATTTTCAATTTACTGAAGTTGTATGTTTCAATAATTTATTCTTCTTTAGTGCTGAGTAATATTGAATTATAAAACTGAATCAGTTTTTCTATTGATTCATTTTCCTAAGTGTATTTTGGTTATTTTCTGTACAAATTTTTGTGTGAGTGTAAGTTTTACTTTATCTAGGGGTGGAACTAGTGAGTCAGGTAAATAAATATATGTTCAATTCTTTAAAAAACTGCTTGCAAACATTATTTCCAATGTATATTTTCACCATTTTTCATTCTCATTGGCAATATTAACACTACTGCCGCTTGATACTGTTTTATCTAAATTATTTAAATGTCTTGGGATATTTGTTATTCATTATAATATCTTTTAGTCCATTTCATTTCTGTAAGGTCATTCCTAGTGTAATTCTGAGTTTCTCATCTTATTAAGTTAATTAAAGGTTTTACAACAGTTTTGATCTTTCTTATAAAAAGCTCCTGGTTGTAGATTTATTTTTCTATTTCTTTCTGCTCTGAAATTATTTCCTTCTTTCTGTTTAGCTTGTCTTTAAGTTTGAGCTCCATTTTCTAGCAGATCTTCGCAGAAAGTTACATTACTGACTTAAAATTTTTATTCTTTTTAATACTGTCTTTACCAGGTATGAATTTCTGGGTTATATGACTATCTTCTCACTGTATCTTCTATGACATAGTATCAATTATTTTCACTTGATACAAGTAGGTACCTTATATTTTAATCTCAGTTATTTACAACAACATTAATTAATGAACATATTTTAAATTTGGTTTGTATATAAATTTGTTTAGTTAGCACTTTCTAATTTCAGTCTATCATTTTAAAGAATAAAAACTATGTTTTCAATTCTCCTAAATTTATTAAGGCTTGCTTTACAGATAAATACATAGACCATCCTAATGGATACTCTTGTTTTGGCTTTCAGAAGAATTGATCTATCATTATAACATGTCTTGCATCTCAATTAACTTATCATAGTTTATTTGATAGTTTATATTCATATAGTCACACTGGTTCTTTTGGATACTGTTTTGTTAGTAGATCTTTCCTTATTTTTCATTCTGCAAAGTATTTGAGGACTTGAATTTTACAAATAAGCAGCTGAATAAAATAACAAAGACATTGAAAGATATGAAATAGGGTTTCAAAAATATAAAAACTCCTGGAAACAATCAATTAAGATTTCTTGAAGAAACAAATTCAATAGTTCAAATAAAATTGCAGTTGAAAACCAAGCCTGAATAAACCAATGGAAGATAGAATATCAGAACTTGAAGATAGGGTTAAAAATATTAGAATAATGAGATAAAGAGAAAGAAAAATGTAAAAGTACAAAAGAAACTTGCAAAACCCATTACACCATTAAAAGACTAAATAGGAATTCTGAATGTAGAAAACATATAAATTAAAGGAATATGGACAATATTCAATGAAATAATACCAGAAAAAATATAAATCTTGAGAAAATTCGGTATAGACTAAGGTATAGACGGGACCAGAATAGAATAATTCCAAGTTTTATTATAAACATTAAATACAGTATACAAAACAAGGAAGGAATATTGAAAGTTGAAAGAGAGAAGTGTCAAGTCATCTACATAGGTTAACTCATCAGAAAAACAGTATGTTTTTTTCAACAAAACCTCCCTCTAAAAGCAAGGAGGGGATGGAATTATACATTTCAAGCCCTGAAAGGAAATTACTAACCTTGATACCTGTTTCCAGTAACTTTATCTTTTTAATTGAAGAAGAAAAATAACCTTGAAAGTTAAACACAAAAACTAAAAAAACTTAGGTACACTAAAGTCAACCCTAAAGATAATACAAGAACGTAAAAGTACAAAAGATGATCAACACAACCATGAATACATGGGAAAGTATCAAAGAATCAATCTCACTACACTGGTAGATATGAAAATGTAAATCAGAAAAGATCAAATATTTTTAAAGCAAAAAATAACAAATTGTTGCATACCTTTGAATAATAATTCTGAATGTTAACAGTATTGATCCTCTACACAAAAGACACAAAGTACAAAATTGGATCAAAAACAAGACCAGATCATCTTCTGTCTGCAAGAAATGCAACTCATCAGGCACCAGTAGCTCATGCCTGTAATCCTAGCACCAAGGCCCAGAGTTCAAGCTCCAGGACTAGAAAAAAAAGAAGAAAAAGGAAATTCAAGTCATTTTAGAGTGAAAGGCGTCTGTGGCTCATGCCTGCAATTCAAGCTATTCAGGTGGCTAAGATATGATGATCAAAGTTCAAAGCCAGCCCAGGCAGGAAAAGGTGTGAGATTCTAATCTTCAATTAAATACCAGAAAACTGGAAGTGGGCTGTGGCTCAACATGGTAGGGCACTAATGTAGAGTAAAGGAGCTCAGGAACAGCTCCCAGGCCCTGAGTTCAAGCCACATGACTGAAAAAAAAAAGCAAAATAAACAAA